GGTGGGTTCTGGTTGGTTCTGATGGATGGGTGGGTTCTGGTTGGAGCTGGATGACACCCTGAGAGTTGCTAACCCCAGAGAGACAGAGAGAGATTCCATTTTTCTTTTCTCAAACCATCAAACCGTCTCTGGGATTAATTTCTTCTTATCTTGAAGGATGGTGTTGGATCCAGTTAGAAATAGTTGAATTATCAGGTGTGAAATGTCCGTTTCCTCTCCTGCTTCTCTCCACTGGAGGATGAACCCCTCTTTACTGATGGATCCATCTTTTATTGACCACATCACAGCTTCTTTCTGGATACTAATTAGAGCCCAGATGTCATCCTGGGAGACGCTGAAGCTTTTATTAAAGGTGTCATATCGTCCACCACAGCTCAGATGAAAGCTGCCATTAAAGAACAGTCACACCTAGAAAGAACAATACAACAGGCAGAGCTGAAATTTAAAAATACACACTGATGAATAAACAACAATTAAACATAAATACTGCTCTCTGCATCATCGTCTGCCATGGTTGTTGTTTTCTTGCAGCTTCTTCACAGCAGACCCAGAATAGTTGCCTTTGTCAGGTATTAATGGCGTTCAGGTGGGCTGAATGCCACCTGAACGTTCAGACACAGGTCGCATTAAGATCAGATTCAGAACCACGGAGCCACGTAGCCTGGGTCGCTTTGGAACAAACCTGATCTGTGTGGTTCAGACTGTCAGGAAAACATCAGATCCAGGTCACGTATAGGGCTGGGTATTGTTCAAACATTTTTGGTTCCGGTACCAATACCGATACCTTCACTTCGATATCGGTTCCTGAACCATACTTTTTTCCATACCAGTTTTATAATATCAATTCGAAGAAAAAGAAAATTACACAACATAAAAAAGTACAAATCTTGAGTTTTATTTTAAGCTCTGATTTTTCCATTTACATTTTTCCTCTTACATAAAAAAAAAAATTCAGTCTCTAATATTCACTGTTACATTGTGAGGACCTTTTTATTTAGCAGTTTTCCTTTAGAAAAATGACCATGTCTGACAAACCAGCCCGTTGAATGGGATCCTACTGACAGCGCCCCGCTGGGATGGGGGGGTCTGAGCGGCTCCCACAGAAATATAGGAAGGCAGGATGATAATCTGGATGAACTGATTAAGTTTTCAGGTGGATTTTCCCACTTAAAAACATAATAAAACTACTTTATTCCCACTGACCACAGCAAATATAACTGCAAGGCAGAGAAAGGATAGTGAAGCTCCGCCCAACGCGCGTCAGAGCCACTTTTCTACCGCTCAGCCAGAGCAGCAAAGCTGCTTCAGCCGCGCGTCAGAAGCTGGTACAAGCAGCAAAAA